AGCAGTCGCTGCGGGAGCTGATGAGACAGTGTTGGTTACTGGGGTAGGGCCGGGATTGGTATCATGCACTCCAGTGTCTCGAATATGCGGTCTGATGAGAAGTCTCAGGGGTCTGGCTTCATTGGATCGAATTTAGTCGAGGAATTGTTGGAGTTGGGATACAAAGTGCGGGTTTTGGACAATTTAGTGACAGGTAGTTGGTTCTATACGAGTTACTTGTGAAAATACACGGTTGTGGTGGATTTTTACTGGGCTCATTCCGGTACTCACAGATGTGCATTTTGTATTGGTTTCCTAGGTGTGTGAGTGTTCGCCTGTGGAACTCGGTTGATGTAGCAGTAGTTGAGCGAAATGTGTAGTACTTCTGATAGAACTGCAGTGAGAACTGTAATAGTGCATCTCATGCTTTCAAGGTAACATCCAGTATCTGCCATTGGACCATCCGCGACTAGAGTTTCGCTATGGGGATATTATGGACTTGAAAACTCTGCGGGCTGCGATGGAGGGTATTGCTGGGGTTATCCATCTAGCAGCCGCTAGCAAAGTAGTGAGATTAAGATGCGCTCGCCCCGTGCTCGATTTTTGCATGTTATTCCCGGGAACATCTGTCGTTCATCCCCTTTCTCTCAAGTTTCCTGTTCTTGAGGTGCTGCCGAGTTTAAAGAACTCCACTATGGCTACTTTCAATGTTAATGTGAACTCGGTTGGTACGGCTAACGTGCTTGAAGTAGCTCAGCAAACTGGGACGGTAAACTGGGTGAGCAGTTCCAATGGAAGCGTATGAGTTTTTTCTCATCAAATAATCTCTCCGCAATAGAATGGATCTCTTGTTGCGGCTGGGTTTCGTTTCATTATGAGCTTTGTCTCCGTTCGTGGGAGCTGTTTTGTTTTGTCGTGGTTGAATTAGAGAACGAAAATCGGTCGATTTCTGACAAGGTACGAAAGGTGGTCTTCGCGGCGAGTAGTACCTTTTATGGTAACCAGGAGCTGCCCTACCGAGAAACGGATCATTTTTCCGTAAGTGCGTGTTGGAAATATTTAGGAGATGTTTCTGAGTCGTGAAAATCGTGCTTTTGCCCTGACCATCATGCATGGTGGCACCATGATGGTAGTATTGACTCAGCTGTAGTTGTTGGATTTTGTGGTTGACTTGCCCCTCATGCGTTTTTGATATCCACCCAATAGTAATGATGGACAAACGAAGATTTCGAATGAGAACTCGACGCAGGAAAAGAAGACTGTATTAGCTACACAGCTCTCGTATTCGTTACAGAGTCTGTAAGTCACAGGCGTGTTGTTGCTGAAGTACTAGAGTCATGCACTCAGCTAAGTCGATTCCCGACTTAGCTAGGTGTGTAGAAGACACTCGAGTAGAGAAGGGTTGCGTGTCACAGCTTGTGGTGTATCTTTGGCTCGCTAATATGGGATCTCACGTGCAGCTGTTACGGCTGAGAGCCGTATAGTGGTAGCCTATGTTCGGACTCCGAACTTCGGGGATGCTTTCCCGCATACTTCACTGCTGTCGGAGACCTGTCATGTTCCTTTGGGATCCAGAGTGTGGGATCATCAATGATGAGAGAAGATTTCAGATTATGTTACTAGAATACAGGCAGCCTGTAACAGGCAGCCTGTAACAGACAGATGCTGACTCTCTGAGAGCAATGCCTGGCGAGAGGTTCGACTGTTTGTTGAGAACAGTGAGGGGCTCAAGTGGGAAATATGTTGTGCCCCGAGGATGCGGGTTCGAATTTACTAAATTCGAAACCCGAATGCACAACTAGAACTAAATTCAATTTAGTTCTCTCATATGCTTGTTGTACGAGTATCGATCACACAGTTAGTGTGTCTGGCGGCCATTCGGTTTTGGTCGTTCGTCAAGAGAAGCATGAACTCGTACAGCGACGATGGCGATGGGAGTTTGAAATGAACCAGCTGCTCACCCGGTGGTCTACAACGGAGGATGTCACCATATGCTACTACTGCGCAAGGATCGGCCACATCACTACAGTTTGCTCTCCGGTGAATGCAATATTTGCAGAAATATTGATCTATAGCGGGAGTTTAGGAATCTCAGAGTGCACTCATTATGAGAGACACTAAGTCACGTTTCGATTATCTACAGAGCTACCGTGCAATTCGAGAGATGTCGCAGTTGTACATGATCTTGTGACACGATGTGCATGGTATATCATATGTATACCATATACCATATACCGTATATGTATCAGTCAAATACGGGAAATGTTGGTTTTCATTCAGTACTCTATTGTGTTTAAAATCCCCCCCCCCCGATGGTCGGAAAAACTTCTCAGAATTTTCGGGCTGAGCAGCATTCGCGGTTGTGGTCCCGCTGATGCTGGCCATGCTGTTTGTTTTGTTAAGTTCATACGTAGTTTCTCCTTGTCTTAGCCTTCTAGCCCCTACAGTGCCAGCAAAGCGATGGGGGAACTGGAAATGCAAATTTTTGATAAGTAGGAGCGATGTACTCTCACCGCCAACGCGAGTTTTTATACTTTCCCTGTAGCGATGCATTGGTTGTATGTTAGAGTGTATGACCTTCCTACTGTATCACTACGTTTTTTCATGGTCTACGGTCCGAGACAGCCTCGTAGCGGCGCTTATGCGATAGTCACTGGTGTGTTTGCTGGCCAGAAAGAAAGAGGAGAGGAGCTGACCATCGAGGGTGAGTTTCAGTCGAGGTCGGTTCTTGGAACGTATCAAAATTTTCCCTCATCTCGTCGTTTTTACAATGGGTAAAACGGTCGGTTCTCCGACCGCTGACAACATTGTTGTGTCTATTCCGAGCGAAAATCTCATCGCAGGTGACGGCCTCCAATTTCGCGACTTTGTGCATGTGAAAGACATTGGCCGGGGGATCATATTGGCGTATCAAAACGATCAAGTCAGAAGTGGACAGCCGATCAACCTTGGCAGTGGGGAGGCCCATACGGTTCAGGTAGGCGTAGTATGAGAGTTAACACTCGAGTTTAAATTCGCGGGAAGCGCGCTATTTTTAGGCAATCCCATTCAGTAATACAGCAGGGATGATTACAGATTCTGAATCGAGGAAAAATTGATCTATCGTATTGCCATTCCGTTTCGCACGCTATATCACGGAAATTGGTCAGCCGTGAAACTTCTAATTCATGGGAACTCCGCATTGTTTTCGCATAGTTTTGGATAACAGTATGAACTTGGCTGTTCTCAAGCATGTTCATCTTTCTTGGATATGTAGGGTTACTCGGGGTCGTAACTTCAGGAGTTGGCAGATTTGATATCGTCCAACCAAAGGCATGTACCGGCACGAAAGAACGACTTGAGAGGAACTCTGGCTGATACATGCAAAGCTAAGGAGCTGTTGGGTGAGTTGAACTCACTGATTTCTGTTCGCATTAAAGATGGGGAGTGTTTCTCATCATTTCTGATTGAAAAAGAGGCAAAACTTGCGGACTGCGATCCCGCTGGCATCAACAACATAATATAATTGATAAACATTGACTGATTATACCGTGATAAGGTTGCAACCTACATGAGTACTGGTATAGATAACTCATTTCAAGGTTGGTCGACGAGGAAAAACTTCCGCGACGAGATGAGGCGAATCATTGAGGATACCCTTGCTGGTCGCGGCCTTTACCTTTCACATTGGTTCCAGCAGGCTGAGACACTCGAATGGCTCGAGGATAGGATACCAGGTTGGTTGGTTGGTTGTGTTTGTGGGGGGATGGGCCCATCCCCCATGGGGGATTCTCATGAAATTGTCGCGGTGATGTGCAGTAATCGTGGAATATGCACATGGTCAACTACATGTGTTGGTGACAAATTGGCGATTCCGAGGAAATTCTGGAAAGTTGGTTTTTGCTTTCTATACACTCATACTATAGAAATCTCATGCGAATTCCGGGTAGGAGTCCTACCCCGAATTCGCACGACATTTCTATAGCGAGTGAGGAAACTCTTGACCTCAGCCGAGGGAGGCGAACGTACTCTTCAACTCCGAGGAGCTCAGCTGAGGAAAAGGAATATTTTCTCAGGATTCGCTCGAGCCGGTCACGATGAACGGAATTCAATGGTTGCAACTGAGCTGAGGGTTCACGGAGATAAGTGGTTCGAGAAAGCTCCTGGTTTGCATGCTCATAAAGAGTGATGTCAATTTCGCGAGTGCCGCACATTTTGTGTTGATCGAAATTGATGGAATAGACTGTGTTTTATTACCATGCGTTACCTGTTGAGAGCCGCTACTACTTACCATGTTATCTATGAATTCAGTCTTGTGATTAAAATGCATAAAATCCCCAGCGATTCGCTGAGAAGAGTTGCTGCAGTGATGCCCAGTAAAATGAAGGTGGTTGCCATACGCAAGTTGACGGAGGCGTTTGGCTCGGAGCACGTGGAGTGGCGGTTTTGGTTGGGGAAAATCGTTGAGAATCCGGACCTGAGTTCAATCGTGTAAGTGATGGTGTGAGGGGAATATGCACGTGGACAACTACGCTCTGGTCATGATGTGGAAACCTCGGGAGATGAAATTTCGGGAAATTTACTTCTTTATTCCTACCCGGACTCGTGTGTAAACTTGCATAATTTATAGCAGAACTTCTGAGCTCAGATGTGGAGAGCGAACATATGTTCCTCCAACGCTGGAGTTTCACCCGTTTAACGTGAAGTGGTGTAATACTGCGTGTGAATGACAGTACGTGTATATTTTCGCGACTGATTACACAATTGTTTCCCGCGACGTGAAATATGAAATATATTTTTCGCAAAGACAGCAGCCGATGAAACTCGGCTGCTGTCTTTGCATGAGTTGAGATATTTGATCAGGTCTGAGATGCCGGCTGAAGCTGCAGCAGAAGCTCTCTCTTCTTTGTACCGAATTCGTCATCATAATCCCGCTGCTGCAGGTGACTTGGAATACCAATTCGGGCCGATTTTTTTCTCGAATAGAACGACTTGGGGGAATTACCTTCTCGAACATTTGCGCTTCTGATCAG